GGGGGGGGGGAGAGAGATCCAAATCGGCAGGCTGCAGCTGCTTATTGCTGTTGCCGATGCTAACGATGCTAACCTCTTCTCTGCGGGCATCGCGATCATTTCTCGTTCGAGAGAGAACTCGTGTGGTTGTGTATGGTAACGTGGTGGGGTGTAGTGGAATGGGGCGTGGCCGGTACAGCAATTTGCCAAAAGAACCGCAGTCGCCTTTGCTCGCTTCACGCGCGTGTCGTACCTTCAGGGCCAACTCGCGAAGTATAATGCAACTAGTTTAACATGGTCGTACCTCCCGCCAAACTTTATAGCAACGCGTGCTTGTGCTGCGCACGCCCGGAAACGGATAGACGAACAACATCGTCTGAGCTCGCGCAGCGGACGGAGGCAGGAGGATAAGGGGGTCGCGGCGTGACAGAGTGGTAATGAGCAACAAGAGTGGAGGGGGGGGGCAGATTGAAATGAGACAAGACGAGCGAGGCAAGGCGAGCTGGCGCGAGCGTGTGTGAGTGCGTGAGAGAGATGCGGCGAATAAGAAAATACAATCAGCCTGACAAGCAAGAGATGAGCGGCGGCGGCGGGACCTTTGGGTCAGCTTCCCGCTGCCTCTACCCCCGCCCCCTCTCCTTACCCCTACCCTACTTCAGCCCCGCGACGGCACCTCTTGCCTCTAGAGGTATGAGAGGCGCCATCACTTACGTCACGCCAAAACCCGAAGCGATCCGCATTTCTCCACCGCGTCACCACCACTCGCTGTGCTGTGGTTGTCACCGCGCACGGCCTGTCTGTGCGGCGCCCGACTTCAGGTCATTGCGTGTGTGAGCGCGCGTGCGCGCGCACGTTTCCTGGCATTAAAAGAAAAATACATCTGCTTAGCGCCTGACGGGCGAAGGATAGGCCACCAGCTCAGACAGCGTGGCAGTTCGTTGCCTACCCCCCAGGCGCCTTCAACCAATTAGGCAGACTCCTTCCAGAACTTCTCTCCAAAATTGCACGCACCATTCCTTTGCACCCCTCCTTGTGTCAGGTTGAGAAATACACAATCGTGACAAACGCACTCAAATATATATAATATTACTTTCCTTCTAT